ATGGATGGATGGATGGATGGATGGATGGATGGATGGATGGATGGATGGATGGATGGATGGATGGATGGATGGATGGATGGATAGATAGATAGATAGATGGATGGATGGATAGATAGACAGACAGACAGACAGACAGACAGACAGACAGACAGACAGACAGACAAGTGTACAACAAAATATAATAATTAAAACTGTACAAATAGGACTCAAATTGGGTATAAACTAATTTAAAGTGGGCATAATATGATGTAAATGGTGCAAAACACTTCATTTTGTCTCTGAAGAAAAAAGGGCTGGAAATTTAACTGAAACTTTAGCGCCCTCTAGTGGCAAAACACATTTAATAGACGTGAAAGTTATTTATTTATTTTGCACCGGAAATTCTTAAACATTTCTGGTAAATACTTTTAGGGGACAGTATTATTAGTGCTCCGATTCCACTTGACAATATTATTTGGGATTTTTGAGCTTTATTTGTGAACATTTGGCTGCCTGCCTGGCTGATAATGCTCATCTTGGCTCCTCCTCCTGGAGGCGCTGCGTCAGTCGCGCGTAAAGTTGTGTTGACAGGGGCGGCCGGTAGTAGCAGGAGTTGTCAGCGGAGCAGCAGAAATCAGCTTCACCAGACCCGAATGGAGTAAATTACCCATACCGTTCTACCTTGCGCTTCTGTTACTTCTGTTAAGCGCTTTTCGTATTGTTTAGGAAACAACTATGGCGGACGAGCAGTCCTCTCAGTCCTGGTCGATCGACCGGGATGACTATGAACTCAATGAGGTGATAGGTGAGTACTAGCTTAGCTTGTTAGCATCCTAGCCTCCCCTTGCTTTGCTGCAGCGTTGGCTGTCATTTGCTCCTAGCCTTCCTGGCTATTAGCATTTTAAGTCTGTAGCTAACAAAAGTCAAGTCACAACCCGTAGCTCTACCATCAGCCAGGTAGTTTCCCTTTGGCAAGGCCGGTAGTTCCTACAAGTTATAAAGCTAAAGCAGGATTGTCTCCTGGCGGAGCAACAAGAAGCTAAATGGCTTGCTAATGCAATGTAGCCGGTGTTGTGCCGAAAAAAAGCACCACCGTAGAAGGTGCTCTTAAAGGCACATTTTTCTTTCTTTCACATATAGATTAGGTGAAAGTTGAAAGAGACAAACACTCGTGTTTTCACAGCATCAATAAGCAAAATTGTTATTTGGCTTAAAACCTGCAAGTTCGTGTAAAGTCGTTTTGGAAATATTGGATTTCGGTGCTCCTGTACACAATTCTACACATTATACAAATTTAAATGTTATAAAAACGGACCTGGGTACATGATAAATAATGTTAGCTCCTTTGTTGTTTATAGTGGGGTTTAACAGGAACATGATTTGAAGTTTTAAACTTCTTGAAACGTTTTTGCAACAAACTGTGGCATACTGTGTATATGTGTGAGTACGTCTTCTCTTTAATGTCCACGTTGATGTCCTCAGGGAGTGGAGCCACTGCTGTTGTTCAGGCGGCTTACTGCAAGCCGAGAAAGGAGAAGGTGGCCATCAAACGCATCAACTTGGAAAAATGTCAAACTAGCATGGATGAGCTGCTGGTAGGAAATGATGGCAAATATCTGATTGTGTGTTTATGTAGCTGTGTATGTGTGCGTACATAGCAGTGGGTTGTGGCAACATATTGCGGCCAGATCCAAAGTTTAATACCTCACAAAGCTTGATGATTACTGGAGCTCATTTCAGATGATCAAGCTCTTATTGTTGCGCACAAGTTCAACAATTCAAATGTGAGTAAAGCTGTTATCCAGTGGTTTAACACCATTACAACAACAAATACAAAAAATACATTACACTGTTATATTTGCACAATAAAGATTGGGTTAATTTTTTTACTCATGGTACATTTTGCTGAACTGTGGTTTTACCAGTACAACAGTCCTAAAATATACCCTACAATATTATAATTGCTTTAGAAAATTGGGTTGTGAAGCGATCACAGTGGGTGGAATGTTAACAATTGTTTAATCTCGTGAAATAAATGCCTCACAGGTCATGACTGTGCTAAATCCTCTAAAACCTATTAATATAGGTAACATTACAACGAGATGTTTTATATAAGCTGTAGAAGTACTTCACTGTACTGTTTGGTCTTTTTGAGCAGTGTATGATATAACAGAACATCTGAAATTGTTTGGTTTTCTTTCAGTCGTGGCCTTTTTCTTTTTTTTTTCCTTAATTTTTAGACCTTGTCAGACATCAACATTAGTGTCTATGTTGTCAAATGTAAACACTACAATGTCCTGTCATCTAATGTCTTCAGCTACAGTTATGCCGACGTATCCAGGTCGGTAAACCAGACTGTGGGTTTTTGTTGTGCTGGCTCCAGGATATAATTAATTTAACACCTTTGTTTRTTGCCTACATCTGGTTAATGTGTGGGCACACCCTGCTCAGGACTCGAGAGGTTTTTATGAAAAGGTTTCGAGGAACAGCAGGATTTATTTGGGATAAATCCTTCATYAATGACGTTCAGATTAAATCACGTCACTAAGATTAATTCTGAAAGTTTTCCTATATATTTAATTGAAATGTGGTGTGGTCTGTTAAGTGTCTGTGCGTTGCGTGACTTTTTCTTACGGTTTCTTTTATTTGTGTGTAGAAAGAGATTCAGGCTATGAGCCAGTGCCACCATCCAAACATCGTGTCTTATTATACCTCCTTTGTGGTGAAGGATGAGCTGTGGTTGGTGATGAAGCTGCTCAGTGGGGGTAAGTGCTTTAACACTGAATTAACTTGCTTTAAACCAACTTTTATTATTATTTACACATTTTTTTCCTATCACAAGTAATCAAATCTTGAGCTCATAAGGAAGCTGCACCTCTGCAGAGGTTTYGGAGGTCCACGGAGTTACGTCAGCGTGTCTTGTGACCAATTTCTTGCCCTTTCTCAGGTTCTGTGTTGGACATAATCAAACACATCATCTCACGTGGTGAGCACAAGAATGGAGTGCTGGACGAAGCCAGCATCGCTACAATCCTGAGGGAAGTCTTGGAGGGGCTGGAGTACCTTCACAAAAACGGACAGATTCATCGGTGAGMGGTGATGATGCACCGTAAGGCGGCTAGCGACATCGTTACGGTTTAACGTCAGTCAGACTCTGAGCGTTTCCTCTCTGCAGTGGAGTACGCAGTTTAAACCAAATCTCACCCTCTTAATATTTAATACCATGAAAATGCATAATTGAGGAGGTTTACTTTACATAAAAGTTTCRTTCAGGAACACAATGAACCAGCTCTGACAAGAGTGACTAGTATTTTAATCRGTAGATGCATAGACTTTCCATCCACGTAATGGCTTTCCTTATTTATGTGAAGGGGAAAATAAAAAGACATGTTAGAAATAATAAATACAAACTTCTGATTAGCTGGTAAATATAGTTTTGCTGTTTTTGTGATAATTTCAGTAGACTGAGATAAACAGCAGCTGACTGAGCTCAGATGATAMGACAAACTCACTTAAATCTAATCCGTGAACTTAATGCAAGGTAGGTCGAGGCTCACTTGATTTATTCCAGTTCTCTGTGTAGTTTGATCTAAGTGTCAGTGCACACACAAAACAAGAAGAAGCGTAAGTTTACATAAACGAACCAAGGAAGCAGCTTTGACATGTTTATAACCGTAAAGTGATTACTCGCAGCTGATTCACACTCATGTCAGCACAGTCACTGGCTTGTGACATCTCATCTGCTCACTGTGATGTCYCTCTTCACTCTGTTCACTCAGGGATCTAAAAGCTGGAAACATTCTTCTTGGAGACGATGGCTCAGTGCAGATTGCTGGTACTCTTTGAGTTCTTATCCCTTGCTGATTAATTWAAAAAAATAATAATAATCTGGTTGAAAATACGTATTTTTTTCGCCCCACGTTCAAAATGACACCTCAGACTTTGGTGTGAGTGCCTTTCTTGCCACTGGAGGAGACATGACAAGGAATAAGGTTCGGAAGACGTTTGTCGGGACACCGTGCTGGATGGCCCCAGAGGTCATGGAGCAGGTACAAGTGGTTTTGTCCCTCTGCTTTGTCATGGCTGTTCTGGCCACCTGAGATTTATTTATTTTTTTAATGAGTCGAAGCTGTCTTTATTCTGATCTGCAGGTTCGTGGCTACGACTTCAAAGCAGACATTTGGAGTTTTGGGATAACGGCGATTGAACTAGCCACCGGCGCTGCACCCTATCACAAATACCCACCAATGAAGGTAACTGTACCTAAAGTATTTAAAAAAGGCTGTTGTCATCGTGGCATCATGTTATAAAGAAGAAAGTTCATTTGCATGTGTTTACTGAAACTCAAGTTAATTGTCTTGTAGGAATAAAGCAGATATCAGTGAATTTCTCTGCATCCTTATTATTAAAACCCAGTACCAACACATTCAGTATAGTTGTCAGACTTTACTATGTAGGTGGCTGGATCACTGCAATGTGAACTGAAGTAAAACGTTTTATCACTGCTGCTATCACAACTTTTCGTATGTGAGGCAGCCATGTTGGATTTTGAGTTCAGAGTTAGTCAGGCATCTGTGATGTTCCAGTTGATTTACATGGAAAACTCTGACTTCATAATGCAACTGAATTTTATTTAATTATTTAAAATAAACAAAACAAAACACATTAAAACACTAAATGAAAAGGGTGCAGAAAGAAGAAAAAATCTTATGTCCCCTATGTTAAAGAAAAATAACTACAAACAGCAWCTTAAGCTTGAACAATCTCCAAATTTGTAAAGTAAAAACCAAAAACAACATCAGGCAACCTTTATAGCCTGTCTCTACCAAACATTACATGGCGTTTATACTTTCCCAATAAAATTGACACGATCGTCTTTTTAAGCATATAGATCAGGCCTATCCAACTGGAGGCCCGCAGGCCACATCCGGCCTGCGAGTGACCAAAGTTCGGTCCGTCACTTAGTTCATTCATCTCTTAAGACCAAATCCCCAGTTTTSTACTTTAATTACTCTAAGTTCTTTTAGTTAGACATAGACATGTTTGGTATTTACAGAAACATCAGAATCTTGGCTAGAAGCTGGTAAAAACATCTATGAACACTCAAGACGGTTAAAATTACCAGTAGTTCAAAATAAAACTATGAAAGTGAAAATAAAATTGGTTTAAAAATTTGTCAAGTCAGAGACGTCAAAATAATACTTGTGTTAAATAGGAGGCGTAATGTGTTCTTTTTGTTTTTAGATATTGTGTAATTATCACTACATTTATAGGGTTCTGTATGTTGTATTCATGATTAAATGCAGCAAAATAAACTATTTCAAAGGTAGCAATACTTTGTTTATTTACATAATAAATTTAATTGCTGGAAGTTCGGCCCCTGAGCTGTTYACCCGCAGTAACTCTGGCCCCCGGAGCATTTTAGTTAAATAACCCTGATATACTGTAGATTGATATAGAAGTTTTTTTATATTAATATCAAGACAATTCCACGAATCACAGCAGTGCTCCTTTAGACTAATTTGAAATGGAGGTTTTACAAAATCTCCATTCCCTTAAGGTTATAATGACTCCCCTTTTAACAAATTTAAATTGAACATTTGAAGCTCATATATTTTATGGGCTTTATTCATGACTTGTTAAATTCTGCAAACAAAATGATAACATTTTAATAATTTTAAATGATGAAATAATATATTTGTTGGGTGACCATTGCACTTTCTACTAATAAATCTTATAGCTCTTTTAAAATAAATATAGGATTTGTTATTATTTTACATWCTTTCCCCTAAACTTCAACACAACAGATTAAATGCGGAACAAWCATTACATTATACAACATATACAGAGCTTCATCATTGTGTGATTTCCAATTTTATCTCACTAACTTTATAAATTTCAATCCTATCATTCGTCATTCTACCGTGTGTGTTTGTGTATCCAGGTGTTGATGCTGACTTTGCAGAACGACCCCCCTTCTCTGGAGACAGGTGTTACAGACAAGGAAATGGTGAAGAAATATGGCAAGTCATTCAGGAAAATGCTGTCTCTGTGTTTACAAAAAGATCCTGAAAAAAGGTCAGTGTCAGACTCTACGTTCTCATCAGACGCTCTGGTTGTGTCTCAACTATAATAAATAGCTCTCCGTCTCTTTAATATTCAGACCGACTGCTGCAGAACTGCTCAAGCACAAGTTCTTTACAAAAGCCAAGGTGAGCTAAGGATTACTATGAGTATTACTATGATGAAAATTATTATTTTTTTGCATTTTTCAAAAACAATACATTCTGCAATAACGTTCATTGTCGTCCTTTGGCAGAACAACGAGTACCTGCAAGAYAAGCTCCTCATGAAAGGTCCCACAATATCCGATCGATCTAAAAAGGTTTGACACATTCATCCTCACACACGTCACATCACTAATATTTAGTAAAATTCATTATGGGGATAAAGTGAACGTCTGTGCTCAGGGTGTGTCCCAMTTCTCCAGCTTTCTGTCTAAAGCATGCTGGGATATGCCTGAAAGGATCAAAGAACTGACGGYTGAGTCAGTTTCAGACTTCTCTTTAATCCTGTGTGTGTACGTGTGTGTAGGTGCGCCGTGTGCCCGGCTCGAGTGGCCGTCTGCACAAGACGGAGGACGGCGGGTGGGAGTGGAGRGACGACGAGCTGGATGAGGAGAGCGAGGAGGGGAAAGCTGCTGTGGCAGCTCTGCGGGTGAGACCYCACGCCTGCGTCTCCTGTCAGCCCGGTTTAATTTACAGAGTTAATTCTGCGCAGCTTCCTGTCGGCTGCAGTTCTGTRCTGAACAATCCTGTCAAACAAGCAGGAGTTAAAGCCTCTTATTTCAGTCACAGTTTGTATGTTTCACTTAATTAAAACCACATATTACTGTGAAAAGTCTAAAATCTCATTGAGCAACATGTTTGTTTTCACAGTATTATGCAARAATCTTGAGCCACTAGTTGAATGAGTTTTATGTTGCACTTTTTACAGTGTAAAACACACAACTATTTATTAAACGAAGATAATACATTCAGGTTAAACTGGCCAAAAAAAACCCTGCTTCAGTCACTTTCAGTGTGTTCATTTTTAAATGATGTCTGGGTGTGGGTTCTTCTTTRCTCTCTCAACTGATGTCCATTTAATGCTGTCACGTTTTCTCAATCCTGCAATGCTCCTYTCTGTTCATGTACTGAGGGGATAAAGGAATAATTGCATGTATTTGATCCTGACAATCTGTCATGTCCATTCTGCAGTCACCCAGAGTGAAGGATGGGTCCCAGAATATGGAGGTGAGTCAGTTTGTAGTGGACATGACCTGCAGATCTTGATTTGTGTCATCAACCATCTCAGAGCAATCTGCATGAGCCTTGTTGTCTRAGTTTATTTTCTTTTTAAGTGTCGTCCGTGTGACGGGATTTGTTCAGTTCATTTGCTGTTTCTTTGGTAGCTTTTTCCACCAGCAGATGGCTCCACAACACATCTGCAGGCACCCGGTGCACAGACTGCGGGCCCCTCAGGAGAGCAGGCCCKACCTCAGCCTGCCGCTCAGACAGCGAGCCCTTCACACGAGCTGATTGTTCCGGTAAAACCACCTCAAAAACACGCAAACGGCAGAAATATTTATATTTATTGAAAGAACGGTTTTAGGAAACAGAGAGGTGATTTATCAAAATGATTTATGATCATTTTTATTAGGGTTACGGGGGATACTTAAAGTCTTAAAAGGCCTTGAATTCATCAATCCAAAAATAAGGCCTTAATTAGCTTTAAAAGGTCTTAAATCAATCTTCAGAAAGCTTAAAAATGTTAACACATTGTAAGTAGGATGACTGTAATTCATATCAAACATTAAAAGAATTGGTAACATTTCTTTATTTTTGAAATATTCACATTTAAACATTCTCRTTTGACACCACTTCCTGTTATTTTACATGCAAATATCTCAACTGTCCATCTGAGCAATGTGATATTTGTTTTGTAATATGRTAATAATGTTGTCTTTCCYAAAATGCATTCATATTTCATACAAACATTTTACATCACAGGCAGTTTAAGGTTTCATCTACAGCAAACTGTGGGTCCTAAAACTCCAAATTTTGGGTCGTCAGAGGATTTCCAGGAATTAAATTGTTTAAAACTGACTGCTAAGAATGTTTTTTAGCTATATTTGACAAAATAGCAGTTTAGATATGGATAAAAACAATTAGTCTATTAGCAATATTTAAATAATTCAACCAAAAATACTTCATGAGTTTCTGCCACAGTTTCTTGTGAAAATGGTCTTAAATTTTATTTCACTTGGCATTAAAAAGTCTTAAAAAAAATCTTAAATTTAACTCGCCTTAAACTGTAGGAACCCTGTTTATCAAAAGTTTTAGAGAGAAGCGAGCAGCAGCAGTTTATATTTAAACCTCTCTAAGCCCCAGTTTCTGTCCAAAGACTGCCTCCGTGTTTGAGACTGAGTAAGGAGGAGTGTGACAGATGTTGAAACAAGAGTTATAAAAAATAAAAAAGAACAATTAAGCCTTCAGATGGACGGGCTTATTATAAATAGTTGACATACCCACAGTTCACTGTGTATGTCTGATTGTTCAGGGTGCTGACAGAGCTGCCCTGAGCTCTGTTCAAATAATGTGAGCTTTGGTTGCAGCGCGACACGTCGTAAAAATCAGTTTGAGTGTTGAAGTGGCTCACAGAGCACAGCACGGCCTTTGTGTTTTTTTTTTGTTTGTTTGTTTTTTACAGTGATGAGTGTTTTCTGCTTAGGTTAGGTGATTTTTATATGTTTTGTTCCATTTTTTTTGTGTTTTCACCTTTATTTTGAAGGTGCTTATAGAAAATATAATGCACATCTTGTTTGTGTTGTTTCGTATAGTTTGAC